AATTTCCATATCTTTTCGTTAGATCACTAGTCAACAATCGTTTCAACAAATCTTTTGCATCAGAATCAAAAAATGAAGGATATTTTATTCGTCCTGCTAATATCTTTTCATATAATCGCATATGATCTTCATCATAAAATGGAGGATATCCGGCAAGCATTTCGAATATTAACACACCTAAAGAATACCAATCCACGGCCTTTCCATAACCTTTTGATTGAATTATTTCAGGAGCTAAGTAATCAGGGGTACCACATAAAGTCCATGTTATGTCTGGAACATATTTTGCAAATCCAAAATCAGTAATTTTTATGTGGCCATTACGATCTAATAGAAGGTTTTCGGGTTTAAGGTCACGATAGATTATATCTTTAGAATGTAAGTATTCAAAAGCTAGGATGACTTCGGCAGCATAAAATTTTGCGACGTGATCCGGAAAACGCTATTTAATTAAGTAGTAAAATATAGGTTAGGACTTTGAAAATATCTGATGGTACTATATATTATTATATAGCATTTAAGTTATTATTTGTACCCAAACGTTACTATTCATAATACAATTTTTTAACGATTAATTATTATAATAAAAAAGATTGGCGTACCTGAGTTTTCCTTAGTATGCTAAAAAGTTCACCACCCACCACATAATCCATAACCATATATAAGTTGCAACTATCTTGAAAAGTTCCCCATAAATTTACCAAGAAAGGATGTTGTACTTGTTCCAAGATATGCTTTTCATTGTTCGTATGTTCAACTTGTTTTAACCTAACTACCTCACTTTTCTTTAAAACTTTCATCGCGTAATACTTATTATTGTGCTTTGATTGTACAAGGTGAACTCTACCAAACGAGCCAGTACCTAAGGTACGACAGATGGTAAAATCAGATAATAAGAATTTTGATTCTGGACTTGGACCAACTTGATTTAAACTGTTAGTTCTTTGGTGTTGTGATAAAAGGTCACCACCATTTGCGCTGTTCGTTCTACTATGATGGTCACCATTACTACTAGCAACGCTACCGTTGCTAAGTTGATGGGAATGACCACCGCGTGAAGAATGTTGCATCGTATTTGACTTAGCGTATGGGTGTAAAGTTGTGACTTTCGTTAGTTGTTCAAAAAAAGATTGTTGTTTTGAATAGGAACTATAGGAAGACGGAGGGTTATTACTTTGTTGGGGTGACGTTAATCGAGAACTCGTGGTGACGTTAGAGGAGGAAAAGGTAAAGGGTTGAGTAGATTGGGTATGTGAAAGATAATTGCTAACAATTTTATTATTTATATTTTTTATCTTTGTTTCTAAGGTATGTGAAATTTGTTTGGCTTTTTTTGGTACGGAAGTTAATACTAAGGGAGGTAAAGAAGTAGTAGAATTTTGTTCATGATTTTTTTTAGTATCATTAGATGTTAAAGAGTTATGATGATTGAGCATTACTACTTGAGGTTATAATTTTTCCTGGGTTATGTACAATTCCTGGATATGTAGTGATTCGTGTTGAGTGCGCTTGTTTGAATTTTATTTTTTTGGGAAAGAGATAAAATAATAGCATATAATGATTATATAGAAGAATTTATGGTGAGTAACGATAATTTAACAAAATCGATTAAATCAACTTTTATTTGACGCATCAGAGATGGCCAATCAAAGTCCGAATATAGACTTTGTAGATAGGAAAATAGTAGTACAAACTGATCTTTAAAAATATAAAACAAAGGGCTTTTTCAAGTTGGGCATGGGAAATTTCTACGTATGTGCTTTCCAAAGGATGTAAACAGATAATTTAATATTGATGTACAGAGAATTCAAAAAAATTTTAACGAACTATCAATTCTATCAATTTTTTACAGTCCCTTGTTATCGTTCTGTCGTTAGCACGATGTGTAGCGAAAAATGGGAAGTATGCACGTGATAAATTTTAAAATGGTTTAGCGTTTCGATTAAAGTCCAAATAATTAATTATAAGAATAGTTATGAAATTACAAACTAAAATAAATAAAATTGAAATCGACTAACGTGATTGTTTCTATAGTGATGATATAAAAAGGTAATATTTTTTAATATTAATTTCATCAAGCCGATCCTTTTTAAATAATAAAAAATTGAACGTATAGCGAAAATATATTATTGTACAATTATATACTGCAGAAATTTTCTTAATGCACATACCTCCTTGAAATCTTACGGATGATTAGACCAAACAGTGCATTTATAGACATTTATGTATACTAGGGGCTGAATCTACGATTAGAGCTCTGTATATTCAATGCATTTAGAAAAGTATCAAATGCATATGATTTTCGTTATATTTATTTGTTTAAGGCATTAACTAAACATGGGTATATGAAAACTAGATTAGGTACATGTAACATGTATATTCGTGTTACATATTTTGACACTATAATTCGTTATAATTTGTGTTCACAGTTTTTCATACATGCCATTATAATTTGCCGAAACATACAGATACAATAAAACTAATGCTTAAATTCGTATTACAATCAAGTCACGTGAAAAATAAAGTTTCTGTAATCTTATCATTGTCTTCAATGATTTCAAGATAAAAATGAAATAAGAAAATGCTTTTTTTCAGACGATTTTATTTCAAAGATTATTGGTGTAATGGCTTATAAATCTCACCAAAAATCCTTCCACAAAAAAACAGGTATATACACTGTACCACCTGTGTAAGAAACGAAAATTTTACTATATGAAAACTTTCGATCCACACATTATAGATCAAGGAGACATTAAAAAAGTACATACTAATTGAAAGAAAAAACTATGCAATTATTAGAGTATAAAAAATCGAGTACTAATAATCAAAAAAAGCACAATTATTAGAAAAATTTCAAATGTTCATTTTGTAAAGTAAAAAGTAAGATTAAAAAAAAAAAGACAGAAGTTTTAACAAGGGATCTGCCAAATTTTTCCGACAACAAAAAAAAAAAAAAAGGAAAAAGACGCCAGACTACTAATAAATAACATTTTTATTTGCCTCATAAAAAAATTAATTAAATTAAAAACTAGGAAATTTATCCCTATAACAATCATTACAAGACTTCCCGTAAGGTTCTCTTTCCTCAGGATAAACATCAAAATTACTGGCATCACCTTCTCCAATGACGGTCGGTACGTATGGTGCTTGAATCTCTCGTCTGAGTAACCGATCCCAATCGACACCTTTAAACCAAACATGCCCTTTGATATCCTTACTACCACCTTTTAAATTTCCATATCTTTTCGTTAGATCACTAGTCAACAATCGTTTCAACAAATCTTTTGCATCAGAATCAAAAAATGAA